GGGGGCAGGGGAAGCCCCCGGTGCCCGGCATGCGGCACCCTGGGAAGCACCGCGGGGCAGGGGGCGCTTCAGGGTGCCACCCTGCCGGGGGAGAAGGGTCCTCCCGGGACCGCACCCTGGGACGCACGCACAGACCTGCTCGGTGGCTGCGGTGTTTGAAGCCGCCGTTGCTACGCTGGGACGGGCGAGGGAGGGCGGCCGCACCCCCGAGCCTGGCGATTCCCACTGTTGGCCACGGGCAGTGGGAAAGGAGAAAAAAACTGTCGCTTGGCCACCTGAGCAATCCACAGGAAAGAAGATGGGGGCGGCCTCGCCGGCAGCGATGGGCAGCGAAAGGCTGCCCCGTCCCCCGCAGTGCTCCCCTTTCGTGGTTACAAAGCACCCGCTCTCGGCAGTGCCAGCCCCGAGGGGCCCGGGGGTGCCCCTGTTCCTCCTTCCAGCAGCTCACATCTGTGCACCGCAGCCTTTAAGCTGATGAGCAACATCCTCACAGAGGTGAAACAGCTCCTTCTGCCCCTTTTGCATTGCCAGAGGTCCATGGCCCTACCCTCGTCCCCAAAATAAGCTTCCCTTTCCTTCCCTCCTTGCCTCCATCTCTGCTTGCCGAGCTTCCACAGGCTCTTCTCAGGGTGTTGAGGGTCACCCTCCCCCTTCACTGCTAGCGACACCAGTCACAGAAAAATGATTTGCTTGGAAAAACCCCTGCTGTTGCAGTTAAGGGCATTTGCTCGATTTGGCTCTCCCAGAGGCAGTGAGTAACACTTAAAAGTTTCATTGATGTTTAAACCCTTTACACCCCCTCAGAGGGTTGGGGCACAGAAGCTGAAGGAGAGTTCGGCACAAAACACAGAGCTCTTGGCACACATGCACTGGGCTTTGCTGCCCCCCACGAGAGAGGTTCCTCATATGAGACAGGAACAGGCTGGCAGACTGCTTTGCCCATTACAAGTGGCTATGGGCATCGCTTTGATGTGGAAGACTTTTTTTAACCTTACTGCCCTTTCTTGACAGCATTGCAAATATATTTCCATAATTTTTCACTTAAATGGATGTAGGAAGGTAAATTTTGAAAACAGGGATAAACTTTTCCAGACCAAAGCCCTGTTTGATGGAACGCAAGTGGCAGGACCTTCAAAAGCAACAAGATGATCAGTGAAGTGTCTCCCAAGAGCCCAAGCACATCCCTCGGCATCCCCAGGTAGACCCAGCACCTGGAGCTTAGCCTCCAGCCAGCAGCAATGAAGAAATTCCCCTCAGCCCCTCTCACGCCAGGGGGTAACCACAGTGCCAGCAAGAACTAAAGGCAGAAGTATGAGTTACTCCCGGTCTCACCAAGTGCATTCCCTGGAGTCCAGGTGCAAAGATTCATGGCCAGACATAAAAATTTTATGACACATCTGCCCTCTCTGCCTGGTCAGGAGGGGATTAGAAAAACCCAAGCAAGACCTCAGGTGAAATTGCCCCAGGTCAGCAAGACCAGGGTTTCGTACTCAATGTGCAATTCCCTCCAACCCACTTGCAAACAGTGCACCACCGTGCGAATACTTTCCAATCCAACACGTTTGTGTACAAGCTGAACTTAAAACAGACACTGAAATAGCTTAGGCCACAACCGAGTTGTTTGTAAAATCCTTTTTAATCTAATAGAAATGTTTTCATGAATTTTTAAAAAAGATTTCAATGAAAACAGCTTTGGATTCAGACATTCCCTTGCCACGTTGTGAACATAAACAGCAGCATTGCACTAGGAACAAGTGACACCGACCAGTCGAGCTTCACGATTTTGTATGAAGCGGAAAAAAAAAAGCAAACTGCTTCAGTGGAAGATAATTCGAATTTTTTTTTTTTTTTTTAAAAAAAACCAAACATGGGCTGTCATCTCACCGTTGTTCTCCCTCTCCCTTCTTAAAGGAAGAGTTTAGCTCCTGCAGTCTGAGTGCTACAGCAATGTTTGCCAAGTGGAAAAACACAGCGGGAGAAGAAACTCTTTATCCCCAGTGCTATTAAATCCCCAAAGTTGCAGGTCCCTTTAAGAGGAAAGCTTTTCTTACATAAGAACGACAATTAGAATTGGCAAACTGATGCAAAATATTTATTCCAAGTTAGTTATTTTTGATGCAGTAGTTTTTCCCCCTCATACAGACTCAATGTGATAGTCACTTTTTTAAATCTGTAAATAATGTTATCAAAATAATCTTAATCTTTGAAATCTCACAAAAAATTTATATTTTACAATCCACCCTGAATATCAAGGCTGCAAGAAGAAGAACACAAACAATTCCTATATCCAAATATTTTACAGCTGTACCCAAAAAAAGAAAACCACAAACGCCTGGTTAAGTGATGAAGCTCCCCGAGCCGCCAAAAAAAAATAAAATAAAATAAAAAATTCATGTTATTAGCATTAATTTAACATAATTAGAACTTCAATAGCCATTTTGTCATTGACAATGATTGTTTTAGCACACTGTTACCGCACGGCATTATGTAATGCGGGCGGCACTGTTAGAAGCTTGTTGTTGCAAAGATCAGTCAGCCACTTGTATCCTGCTTACAAGACTGAACTTGTGCACTGCCCCACAAGGGATTTCTGTCAAAATTTGCTAGCTGCACAAACTTCTATTAAGCATTAGGGCAAAACCAAAAGAAAAAGCTAAAGAAGCCAATTTCTCTCTTCTTTGGGATACAATTATTTCCCTTGTGCATGAAGTATCAACAACAAAAGAAAAAACTGAACAGACTGGAGACAGAATAAACTGTTTAGTTTATACAACCCCAAACACATGTTGAACTATGAACTGAGTTTATTGGGTTGGTTTTATTTATTTTAGTTTTCTTGTGCCCACTTTCAGGCATCGTCATCTGACGTTTCGCTGCTACTAGTTTCTGTGTCTGAGTCCTCAATCTTTGTCTTAAAAGTGCTTCTCCAGTGGAACAACAGGCTGGAGCCGCGGCCCTGAAGAAATCCATTCTTCCCAAATCCATTTCTTCTTCGCTGTAGGAATGAAAGCAAGTTTTAAAACAAGCAAAAGTGCTGAGAGTAACTGTCACTAACCATCTGTGGACACAATTTACACATTTAACTGCACACACATGCTCTGCACAGATAACGCAGAGTCAGTTGCACCACAGTCTCACTTCAATTCTTTGTCTTCTCCAACATCCTTAAGAATTACACCTCAGAAGACCTGTGCATGAGAAGGGAGGAGGAAAAGAGCAGTCATATGTGGCAAGAGCTGTAAACATACCTGCTCTGATTTAATTTGGAACTCTTTGAGCTCATCCTCCGTGAGGGGAAGATAGTTCTCATCATTTTCAGGATATTCCTGCCATCCCATTTCTTTCAATAACCTGATTTGCAGAGAAAATAAAAGGGTCATGGGAATTAAGCAAGGAAACAATGGCAAAAGAGAGAACATTTTGTCCATGAAGCACAAGGTTTTGTATTAAATCACTCCCAATTCACCAGGGAATCTTCTATATCAGAGATCACTTCAACAATGCTTCATGTTTATCCAACATTTTTAATACTAAGTGTCTTTTGCAAATATTTAATCATCAGCAGTCCTGTACAATGGGTAAATAACTAGATTGGCAGAAGGAAAGCAAGGCAGAGATTTGAAATTCTACCCAAGGACACTGAAAAAGGACATGAGGCAATCAAAACAGTATCACAGCTCGGGATTCTCCTAAAACTTACTATCTGCTTACACCAGACGCTCACACACTGCTTGCTTACTGAACCAAGATGCAGGCTGAGACACTAGGCAAGTATTTTCTTAACTCTCCCTGACTTTTACATTATTTAAAGCAGCACAGGAGTATTTTAAGTGCAAAGTGGTGTGCCCATGTGAGGGCGTATCTCCAGCCTTCAGACCATTCCATTTAGGACATCTGCTTGTAAATTACCCAGAATCACATGAGGTTTGTGCTCACCTCTAGCGTGGGCAAGTAAATATCCAGGCAGCATTAACACACAGGGATGTGGCACTAGAGGAGCGCAGGAATTTAATTATAGACCTTGGCAAAGTCTTGGCTCAGCTGTCATCTGTGTCTTGTTTTATTTTCAGTAATGCTCCACCCAGCCCAGCACTAGTCACAAAGCCCACACACCTCTAGCTCAGTACTCACAAAGCTACTGCTGCTTCCCAGAGGCTTCTCTGTGAAAGTTTCCTCACACAGCTCAAGGACTTGCCCTCCTTTACTCCAGAGACTTCATTTTGCCGTTTACTCACCTGTGTTCCGCCTCCAATGAATGAGAGAGGTTTTCTCCCTCCTCTGGCAAAGGGAGAGAAAGGCCATTCTGATGGCAGTTCTCTTCCCAGTTTTCCTTTGGTTCTGGTGTGCTGTTGCTCTCCATCTAAAGAAAAATAAAAGCATCAAAGTGCGCTTGCACAGACCATGACAATAGCACAGTTCCAAGCTCAAGCTCCTGCTTCTGGAAGTAAAGAAAAGCCTTTCACCTTGAGTCGGTGTTTTTTTTACAAAGCCCGGATCAAAAATGGTTGAAAGCAACTTCCACCTGGCTGTGACAATACTGTACGAACAACATCTGGCAGATGGCACTTGCGTGTTAAAGGAGTAAATGCTGGCATTACAAAGCCACCATCAGTGGCTTCAGAGTGAGGGTAAGAAAACTGTGAGAATGAAATACTCCCGAGGACAGCCTTTACGTACACGTTAAATCACAGACCTATACATTTAGAAGTCTAGTCCAAGCCTCTCAGGCTTGAGCCACTACCCTGCACCTTTCACAGGCACGAACTCAACCTTCCTGTGGATGTAGTTCAACAAGGAAGTTTGAAAGCAAATTAAGATGTCAAAATATGGTATTGTTCCACTCCTTAGAGAATCCTTGCCAAAATCTAGATTACCTTCACCATCTGTGACCTTCCCATCCACCACATTATTACTTATCCATTTGCATTTCAGCATGTTATGTATCTCCCCTCATCATGGTGCTGTGTGCTACTTCTGCTGGCACGTGTGCCAGACCAATGGAAGTCATTCTTTCCTCCTCTACACCCTGAATTATACACATTGCTCTGTTTTTTTTCTAGTACCCAACTCCTTAAATATATAATGTCATACATATATACACAGTAAGGACAGTGATCTTACATCATCCAGCTTGTCACACTCCCTGTTCTCTGTTATCTCCCCATTCCTATCATCCTTCAGTGCCTTCAGGAATTCGCTCTTTTTATCAGTGGTACGGCGCATCAGCTTCGTCAAGCGTGAAGAGCAGATCTCGATGGGAGGGGTGGTGCTGGAAGGACTCTAGACAAGGAAGGCAGAATATAGAGACTTTCAAGCTGTATTGCTGCCAAGATGGGGCCCTCTTCAGTGTCTGTGCTTACACCTTTTAAACACCCATCAGTTCTTTGGCTGGCTCTTAACTCCTCAAAAAAAAGAAAATCTAATGTCAAATTCCCATCAAAATATTGAGTGGTGTTGCACATTCACTTCTTCCCTCACCAGCACATTGTCCTCCCACCTATCATTATCAGCTCTTAATGTTTTTCTTCCCCTAGGAGTCAACTCACACGGCCATGAAAATGTTCATTTTGTTCCTCAGCAATGCAACTCTCAAGCAATGCTGGAGCCTACAACAGAATATTAAGGCAAAGAACTTCATGAATGCTGGAGCCTACAACAGAATATTAAGGCAGAGAACTTCACCCAGGACTCTTACCCCCCCAAAAATTAAAGAGTTAAGGAGATTAGGCTCAGTTCAAAGTTGCACCTGAAGCCATCCTGACAAACTCTACCCTGAAATTAAGCTATGGGGGGCAATCTCCTTTCAGGGAGTGGTCACATCCTTAACTAACCACAACTGGATGCGAAATAGGTAACCACGACCTCAGTATCCTCCCCTGGAGAGCATGCTGCCAATTCCTTGCTACGTACACTCACAGCCCAGATGAGACAGTGTGGAGCAGTCACAGACAACCCTGGAGCCTGTGGCAAATCTGCTCAGCTCAATTCATGAACCCAAGGTAACCTCCCACACTCTTCCACAGTGTTTAAGCTTTCTTAACTATCTCAAACACGTGAAACAGGTGTAAGGCACAACAGTTTGCAGATTAGCAGTACCTCAGCCACGATACTGCAATAAAAACATTGCTAAGGAAGATGAGCTTTCAATTTAATCTGGTTCCATCATTTTGACTGGACATACAAGAGACATCTAAGAACATGTTACATGAAAGTTCCTGATATCTTAACCTTCTGCTCATATAAGGAGTTAAGGTCTGGCTGCTCTAAGACAATGAGGAATTTAGTCATCAACATGGACACCTGACACTAGAATCTTGCATGCAAAACTACTGCTTTCCTTCACTTACTCGCTTTGATTTTTTTCCCCCCTCAATATTAGTGTAAAATTTCCTGAAGTCTGTAGTGCTTTTTTTTTTAAGCTAGGGTGGGAAGGTTGCAAATTCAGGCTCTTCAAAATTAAACTCCTTTGCAAGCTATTTTTATCATACAGTGCTCTGAGCAAAGATCAAAGGAAATAAAATATTTAGCAAAACAAAAAACAAGGTGGCAACTGCAGCTTATATTTCTAATGCCTGCTGCACATGAAACACTGGTGTGAAATAATGCCTTTCAGGGAAGTGCCTCCTGAAAGTAATGCCTTACAGCAAACTTTTCTCGGGTGGCCTTTTCAAGTTTTGCCTAATTCAATACAGTAAGGAACAAACCAGCAATTGCAGCAGACTTAACAAGTGACTGTGAATATTAGGATAAAGAGTAATGAAATTAAGCTCTCAACATGGTAACTAGTTTGACTGCAGTGCTGGAAGGTAACAATAAACACCGGAGACTAAAAGTTGGATGTCTTCTGGTAATTTGGAATACTCCACTTGAGCCCTTTGCTAGTGCATTATCCCCATTTCAGAAATAAAAAGGCAGAGATTACTTGTAGCAGGCCTGGGGAGCTAGGATTACAGCAGTATTTACTGGCTGTGGTCCTTTGTTTCCATACTGCAAGTCTCCAATGGATTCAAAGAAAAACGTATTACAAATGTTCCATTCAGTTGCGAAGAATTTTTAAGCCCTTTTTGTTCAGCTGATTGATTCTGGCAATACAAGAAGCATTCAAGGAAGTACTGCTCGTTCTGGGGAAAACCCAGCTGCCTACTCCTGCTGTCAGATTAGTACCCAACATCTCTGCTGACCAAAGTTTCAGGGAAGACCTTCCTGGGGGGCTGGGTGTGGGTGAAGGAGACAACTTGTGTTACTACTGTGTGATATAAAGTGAATGCCCATCTTGCTACCTACCTGGAGGTGAAAGCCTATTTAAATTCACATATTTATGCTGTAAAGGTGTCCATATTGTGCTGTGCATGACACAAAAAGGAAAGCTGTCAGAAGCACAAAGGACTGTCTAAGAACAGATAAAAGCAAGGTAAAGGAAAGGAATAGAGCGTAAGATCTCTTTGTCAGTAACAGGTGCGTGCTTGTTAACCATTGCTTTTGGTGACTGCTTTTATGCTCAGCAGTGGCTAAAGCAGAAAAGTACAGGCTGCTGCAAAGTAAAGCCTGCAAAGCAGAGAATCGTAAAGATGACAAAGGTCTTATTTTAGAAGTAAGATCTGTAAAGGAATGGGACAAAGGCACAATTAGAAAAAAACCCCCAACCACTGTTACACCTGAAACACAAACACACTCATTTAAAATTCTGTGAATATGTCATTTATCACAGTCAGTTTTATTCCTGTTCTTTTTACATGTGATCACAAACCTGCTGAATTTTGATTCCCAGGTGCGGAGAAAAGTTATTCAGTGCCACTTTTCTATTAAGCTTTGTGGAATTTCAAGGTCCAAACCAGCATTTTGTATACAAGCTATGAAGCGAAGCATAGGAATGCTGGCCAAAATGTGTTATGTCACAGTTACTGCTGAAATGTTAACAGACTTACATTCCAAGGTTCTCTCCATACTTCACACCAAAACCAGAGATAAGGCAGTTTCTACCCCAGCAGATTACCTCCTTCCAACACCAAAATTAAAAACAGACACTGCAGCAGAAGACACACGTACACATACTAAACTCCCTCAACCCCCTCGGAGCTCATTGCTTCTGGTGGTGTTCTATAGAAAGGAAATAAGGCAGATCACCCTCCTTCCCTTTCTTTTCCCATACTGAAGAAAGCATGGGAATCAATTTTCCTATCTATTCACATCAGTTCTTGGTATCTGCACTCTGGTAACACCAAGTCTACGCATGTCTAGTTATGCAACATTATTTAAAGCATTAGATTTTTTTTTATTATTATATTGGAGGGAAATTCTAATACGTTTGGACACATTGGTGTTCACCAGTGTCTTTACATCTGGGTAAACCACATTTTTATTTCTTTTAGTGTATCAGAGATGTGGCAGAATAGGCTAAGAATGTACAAGTGAGTCATTCTTCAAGGGTGCAAAGGTAGGTACCATGTACAGAGAGGACCTTATCGTGTTTAAGCAATAGTAGGTGATAGTGGTAAAAGTTCCCACCCTATCCCCAAACCCAACCCTTACCTCTTTGGGAGAGGTGAGGACTGAGCCACTCGCCAGTACCGCTGGTTTGGTTACAGACACTGGACTGGTAAAGGCAGAGTCACGGCTGGAGGAAAGTGAGCCTGGTTTATGTTCATTTCTGTTGGCTTTCCATGGACTTGGCTATATTGAAGAGAACACAAAATACTGGACAGTAAATTGTAACGCACAAGAACGGGTTGCTTGCGACTAGTATAACAAATAAACATTATGTTGGCTGTTTCTTTTTCCCTCCCTCTCCAAGAACAGTCTTAAGTTTACCTTGACATCCATTATTTTTTCCCTGTCTTCTGTTTTTCCCAAACCACACAGAATTCTGCTTCATGGGCACCTTCCTCCAATAAAACACCATTAGAGCTCAAAGAGAAAATCCTTCACTGCTCTTCATTAGTTGGAATCACCAAGTAATGCAATGCATCTTACAGCCACCCACAGATGGAAAGTAAAAAATCCCAATTAAATTAACATTTCATATGGGAACCCTGTATGCCACAAAGGAAAGGTCTGTATTGCTCGAGAGCAACTTCCCGTGTGGGGGAGAAGCACATCAAGGACTATTTCTGTCCAGACTGAGAATGCAAATGATTTATCTCCTAGGGCTCTGAAAACATTCACCATTGCACTAATTTAGCAACACCACCAAAAAAAAAAAAGGAAAATAAGAAAAAGCAGCCAGTTTATTGAAGTGCATGAGCTCTTGCTGTTTTGCTCTGGACACTTTCTGCAGTATCCCTTCAAACACACTGGCTATTTGGCTGAAAAGCAAAGAATTCAAGGTAAGTTTTCGTTACTTGGAATGTTATTCTTGAGTCTCCCTTATCAACCAAGGGCAAACACTGTGAAGTGACTCTTTACAGAAAGGATCCTAACAGGAAACTTGTATCAAGTAGCGTGAGAAATACAACTCTCGGAGCATTAAAACACACTACTTCCTTTGACCCATTAGACTTCTAAAGCCAACTTCAAATCATTAGCAAAATAACTCATGCACAAGTGGGATCCAGTTAAATCTGAGAGGCAAGAGATCTTGCATTTGCAAGCAATGAGAGCAGAAGCCATCATTTCAGTACTCTCTCACTCTCCATTGGGTCATTCTATTAATTTTTAAATAAATAAATCAGTAGGGGAGGCCGTCAGCATTACTCTTCCACTCCAACTTAAAAACAAGAGCAGTCCACATTATTGAATGGATAACTGCATTCACAGCACACATTCCAAACATCCCCTTCAAACCCAGAAAACACCCTGATCTGCACAATATTACCTGGTACTAAAATTAGGGTGTAGAATTACTACAACAGAGAGTTTCTCTCTGCAGATCCGGTGGTCGCACTGTTTAGGTACCCAGCTCTTAGCTGCTCATTGTTGTTCTCCCAGCTTCAACAAAGGGGAGTTTAGACAGATCCCTATTGCTTTCCTAGGGAGGCCACTAGATTCAAGCACAACTACAGATTAATATCAAAAGGACTCGTTTGCAGATTATGACCATGGATTGCTTGACTGTAAGCAATTAGCCATCTCAATTAGCCAAGAAAGAATGCACTTCCTTCACTGCCACCAGTTCTCTTTCTTTCAACTTACTTGGTAGAACAAAACCATTTTTCATTCAGTTTGCCTGTGACAGCTTTCCAATACCGTTGACTTTGTCAAAAGGAATGTTTTCACCCCTCTAATACTTTATGCACTGCAATTTCTGTACAACTTTCTAGAAGTCTTCAGAATAATGCATCCCACCAGAGCTGCTTTAGGCCTGTACCTTTAAAAAGAGGCATCGTGCACACAGTTTTTCTGGCTAAGGATATGCTGATATCCCACCTTTTAGCTTTGCTAATGGTCACCATTCATTAACAAACGCGCTGTTGATGACATCAACAGACAATTCTTCCCTGTTACAACCCCCACCGCTGAGGAGCACCGTATTCCCCGAACAAGCACAGCACCATGTCAATGCACACACACTTAAAAATTAGTATCTAAATCACCAAGTACATACTTGTATCCTGCTTAACAAGACTGATCTCCCGGGCTACATAACAAAGGTCAATACCTTCTCCACTAGTCAAATAGCTTTTCATGTGTTATCAATACTGTAATACTTCAGGTACGAATCCAGGGGTAATCCAGGCTTACCAACTGGTTCAGTACAGTAAATACTTCATTAAACACAATTTAGGCAGCTAGCACTACATATTGCCATAATCTCTGACTTAAATACAGATACACAATCTGGAATGCAAATGAGCACTACGTAACATCTAAAACAAGCCAACAAAAAAGCCCTAACATTTTTGATGTAAGCTGAACTTCCACAGCACAGTCACAAGGCTGTTTCAGAAAAACAGATCATATTTTTCAAATTATCTATACAAATTAAAGAGATTATTCCAACTTTGAGCTCTTCTAGACAGATTTAATGAAAAACCTCTGACCATGGGCTTCAGAAGTGGCCGAAACAAATACAACAGTGACTGCAGAGCAAGGAATAACGGATAAACAGATTTTTTTATGTCTAAATTCTATGATTTCAAGTAACAGGTATACCACAACCAGCAGTAACAACAGATATTTACATAGCTTTCAGAAGCACATCTCAATCTCCATAGTTGGTACAGCACTAACTTTCAGACCTTGCAAGTTATCTTTGCACATCACAGTAGCCAAGACAGAAAAGCTGTATGCATTCCGGTTCACTAAAATTCTGTTTACTTTGAAGTAATCAAAGAGACAATCTAACAGTCTGGACAGAAACTGTCTCTTTGGCTTTTTGTTTTAAAGACCACTCAAAACATCCAGACTAACACCAGGTAAGACTATATATACATATATATCAATCAAGCTGTACAAGCAAAAATAAAAGCCACAGCACCCTCCGTATCCATGAGAAGCTGCAGCTTGTTTAACTATTCTAAACAAATACGTACATAGACCGAAAACTGTATGTGGAATGAAAAACTTATTAATAACGGGCCGATTTATCCCATCTCGCCAAGAAGGAGATCAGTTGTCAAATTAAGGGTTTACACAAGATTATTTGATAAACATCTTAACCATCAGGATTTTTCCTGTAGTTAGCAGAATTTAGCCTGAATTAAGAGAAACTTACAAAAGGAAAAAAGCTCTAAATTTGCTTTCTTACAAAAAAAGTTGTTAATCTTTCCTATTTTGCTTTTATTTTTGAAGTGTGTAAGACTGATCTACTCTAATCACAGGGAAGACTTTTTGGAAGGTCACAGCCAACATCAGTAATCAGCAAATTTTAGAACTCAAAGTATTTGGAAGCTTTTTTAAAGGAAAAGCTAGCCAATAATTTTCTTTAACTTCTTAAATACTTTCGCTACCAATCCTATAAAGTTTCTAGGCATCTATACATGTAGATTCTCTGGAAAAAAAGGCAAGATAAAGCCTAGAACTAAAAAACTGATTGTTTTTTCAACATTCCTGTATTTCTTTTACTGAAAGAGTTATAGCACAAACCCCATTACTCTTCCAGGTTGCCTTTAAGGCTCAGCTAAATTAGAGCTAAATTGCAGGATGTTACAACCTAATCTGATTTTAGCCTCAACTGTGTTTTACACACATCCAAGTATTGTAACCGAATAAAGATTTTTCAAGGTAGTCATGTGAACAATTAAATGAACAATTCAAGCACATCCTCACACACATTCCATTTCTCTAGCATTGCTTGTTTTGTCTAATTAAGGTAAGGATTTGTCTAATGCATGAGAACACACCCATTCAGATAGATGTTAGTACAGTCAGAAGAAAGGCTAGTTCTCTCTTGTACGGACAAGACCAAACAGCATTTTAACAGGGAACAACAATTTTAGTAGAACATAGACATCTACTGTAAAGACCACTATCCCAGAAACTACTGGATTCCAACTCCTACTATTTGCTAGCGGACTGATTCCCTTGCCAAGGGAGAGAGTTCTCCCTTGATCTGCATTTCACTAACTTTGCTGGAAACCCCTGTACCTTGGAAGGAGGAGCTGCAGGTTTAGGAACCAGATTTTTGTAGACACTTGGGACAATGGTGGTGGCTTTGTTGCCATTTGCCAGGTGAGAAACAGGTGATGTAAATGCAGCTGAGAAGGCAGCAGCAGGATCCTCTTTTGAAACCTTTTTGATGACCAGCATCTTGGTAGGTTGCTTGGCACTAGGGGGATTTTCTGTAAAAATAAACCAAGAGAGATTCTGAGATACAAATGTTCCATTTCTTAATAGCTTCAGTATACTGCTCCAGTTTCTCCCCTCTCAATTTTAGATGCTACACATCCAATTCTGAGTCTGCTATCAGCTGTTCCTTTGTTTCAGCTTTGATCAAAGATACTGGATAAGGATATCAAAGTCCAATCTTTTTTCATTTAACCACAACAGCTCCCTTGACACTGAAGGGAAAATCCTACAGCGGCATCAGCTAACAGCTTTCCATTATACTTCAAGAATCCAAAGGTATATTAGCTTTTTTTTGAGCAATCACAGATCAGCTTTGTTAATTCAACAGCACAGCAAAAATACTTTGCATAACTCAAAAGACAGTGCTTTTACGAACCAGTACAATTAGTATTTCTTAGGTCAAATCAACACATTTGCAAGAGCAGAATAATTTAACAACAGTAATAATATAAACTGCTAAAAGACCCATAAATGCGAATTGCCATTATTTTTTGAGCAGAACAATAGCTACCTGACAAATGTGCAAAAAGCCATAGTACTGGATTGTATTCAAGAAGTGTTTTTGATTTTTTTTTTGTGTATCTGTACTATTTACAGTATCTATCTAACCCAACTAATCCAGCTACATTTAAAATAGAGATAAACAAATCTGTATTTAGTTGCTAGAACTGGTAGTTTCACTTTTTTTTTTTAAAGGCATAGATTTGCATACCACAGTCTCAAAAGCAAGCCTGTTCTGAGTTTAAAGAAATATGAAATAAATCCGAATCACAGAACTATGACAGTTTTGCTGTCTTTCTAATATGAAGATCACAAGTCGGGAACTAACGTCTAGCTCACTCAAATCTGCTCTGCCCTTACCCAAGTGATGTCTGCATGACACTGTAACCACAGTTAAGACAGGAAGCAAACGCAGAACGGTGATGTTACCGCCACCAGCAGGTTTTTTTTATGACAAGATGAGCACAGTTTCAAGTAGGCAAAAAGGTCAAGATTAGTGAAGATTGTTTGAGGAAAACAACAAAGGAAAGAAAGCTGCAAACTATCTGTTTCACTGAAGTCCTTGAGATCTTTTTGAGTGAAAAAACTAGCATTTAAACATCGGTTACAACTTTCTGCTTCAGCATTCTGTACAGTGATGTAATCACCTTTACCTACCCCATACTCCAGAAGGTGTCCCTAAAGGTTTGTTCTGGTTGTTGTGTCTTCCAGCTTCTGGATTCAAAGACGGCTGTAAAAAGACAATGCAAATGAGTACATAATTTATATTGCATACAACAAAAAAATATCAGTATTAATGTAACACTATGCTTCTAGGAACCCAGAGTACAGGTAGATTTCTTTGAACAACACCTGAATTAGAAGAGAGCGCTTTGTCACAAGACATCTAAAAATCAAGTTTGTACTCTCCTTGGCTTCTGCTGTATTTCCAACAGAACTATCAGAGGGTTCAGGATAGGCCCCCTAGTCTTTCTACTACACAAGTAGATTCCACCAACCAATACACACATAAAAAAGGTTCAGGTATTTAATCAGCAGCTCAAAATACAAAACAGAATCCACATAAACGGTATCTGAAGTATCTAGTCTAATTTCCCAAATATTTTTATACAATAATTATGCATTAACCAATTAAAAATACCAAACAACAGCAATACTAGGCTCCTAATGTAAAGGAATAATGAATACATATACATTTACAGACAAGGAAGCTACATGTAAATTTATGTCAAGCTATAGATTCCACTTTCCAGGACAACAGTGCACATAGACTCAGTGCTCTCTGCACTTACCTTTGATTCAGTATCAGAATTCAACTTAGTGGAACCACTAATGACATGCCCAAGCTCAAAACGGGGTACAGAAAATGTCAGCATTCAACGACAAGTGTTCCTGATCAGCTATTCCTCTTCCCCGTCCCAAATAACTTCAGTTCAAAATAAAGCCATCTTTTTCCTCTTTTTAATGAATCCTTCACATGTTGGTAACTATGGTGACAGTGTAAGTCTC